ACATACCTTCTCATATCTCCCAAACACCTGATAACATTCAATGACTTCTACCCATAGGTTACAATGGTTACACATACATTCTCATATCTCACTAATGCCTGATAACATTCAATGACTTATACCCATAGATTACAATGGTTACACATACATTCTCATATCTCACTAATGCCTGATAACATTCAATGACTTCTACCCATAGATTACAATGGTTACACATACCTTCTCATATCTCCCAAACACTTGATAACATTTAATGGCTTCTTCCCATAGATTACAATGGTTACACATACCTTCTCATATCTCCCAAACACTTGATAACATTTAATGGCTTCTTCCCATAGATTACAATGGTTACACATACCTTCTCATATCTCCCTAACGCCTGATAACATTCAATGGATTCTTCCCATAGATTACAATAGTTACACATACCTTCTCATATCTCCCTAACGCCTGATAACATTCAATGGCTTCTTCCCATAGATGCAATCTCAGGTAAACTTCCAATGCAGTACTTATAGCACCAAGGCTTATTAAAAGCTTTGCAAAATTTTGCTGAAACAAAAAACAATTAAATTAACCTTCCACAGATTGAATGAACTCCTCAAGCATACAGAGACTTAAAACCTGCATGCAATTACTGTGGCCACGAATATGTTTTGTACACGTAGTCAGTAATTTTGTCAGCTAATTGGATGATAGTACAGCTGGGTTGCAAGGCAATATATCAGGAAGCCAGTAAATCATTATTACACGTTTGAGCAACATTGATTACAACACAGCTGTACTGTCACCCAATAAGCCAAGTATATTGCTAGCTACGTGTACAAAACTAATTTGCCAAAATAATCAGTTTTGGTCGTTATTTTAAAGTATAAAAGGAAGCATTAAGCATTCATACAAAAATGTTGACTGTGATCACATAGGGTGAAAATGAACCTGCTTTGTCTATTTAGATGATGAATATATTTACAGTTCCTGTTAATAATAGTTGGTCATTTAAATAATGCTTAAAATTAAGATGGACAACACTAAATTGAAGTGATTAGTAATGATTTACATTGTATAGACTCAAATCACCAGGTATCCACCCCATTAGAATTTCAACATACAATTTTAATGGACTTTTGGCAAAATGCTACCAATATATATTTTATGTTGTCATTAATTATTCACATGGCAAATCACCTACATTGTAGTATAAAAGTCATGCCATTGCTTACAGAGGTGTAACTGTTATAAACATCATAACACAATGAATATGTTCAGTGTAAGTATAATGAATACAGGCTCTAGACATAAATTCTTACCTCAATTTTCCATCTGGCTGGCATATTTGATGCATAAAATAAATATAACCTATCTGGACCTTCAGGAATATTGTTATTAAACTGATTAACTAAAACCTGGAATGAAACATAAACATATCTGTGAAAAGAACCCATGTACCAGTGACCCTTGACTCAAGTTGACCTGAAACTCACCTAAGCTCATATATTGCGTAAAAAAAAAATGTAGATTGAACATCTGCCACAAAAACTGAATGATTTGATTTTAAACATGAATTTCTTTTTTTTATAGTTCTATGTCGAAAAATGTTGATCTTTCAGGAGAGGGATATGTCATTGAGATACCCTCACTTCATCTAAATTGACCCTCATCAAATGTTATTAAAGCAGCAATAGCAATAACAAAATAATAGAAGAAAAGGTCCTTTCAACAGAACCACTTACACAAGTACCTACTACAGAAATTAAACATAGTTGAACTCTGGTGACCTTGCCCTTTGTTATATAATATAATTCCCTTTACCATAGTTTGTTTCAATATAAATATGCATTGTCATAATTAATTTTGAATACAAACAAGTTTTGGGGTTGAACCAACAGTGGAGAATCAGTCTACCAAATGTCCTTAAAAGATGTAAATATCTTACGAAAACATTGGTGCCTTATTTGTTTAATTATTTTAAGGGACATAATTTCCAGCTTTATTCAAAGTAATTCAGATATTTTAGTATAAAAACAAATGTCTCATTGCAAAAAAAAAGTGCTGCATTTAGATGTGAATAGATTCATAAAACATGCAAGATAACAGAAAATTTTAGTTGGCTTTAGTCCAAGTATTTTGTACAGGTGTCTGTCAAAAATTAATGATTCACTGAGACAAATATGAACTGCCTCATTGTGTGACTACTGTATTATATGAAAAGTAAAAAAAAAAACCTTTATGAATAGCTATCATGTTGCAAGCTCTGCTTTGTATGCAAATCAACTTAAATAGTTAGTTGGTGTCCAGTGGAGGGAGAAGTCAACAGTACTGTTGCCTCCTGAGAATCTACATCTTCAAACACTGCAATCTTTGAAGTGCGTTTTTAAACTAGTATTATAAAAACTCTATCATTCTGTTCTAATAGCTGAAACATATTCCTGTATTCCTGTAAGTTTTCATTTGTCGAATGAACTGTTTGTCAAATACAGAATACATATATTTTAGAATAACAACAACAACAACGACAACGCCGGACAAAATTTTCCCCTTAATATACCTTTCCCTTCCATCTTTGATGGTACGAGGCAAGGTAAAAACATATGAAAACGAGTCATTGTCAATGACATAGTCCCTGTTTGTATTACGAACATGAAATATTGCATGACTACTGATGCTTTATTCATAACATTGACCAACATGTACGAGATATGGCTCCATAGAACTGCAATCATTTAAACAAGATGGCTGCCAGTCAGCCATTTTAGATTTGATGGTAATTAAAATATGCATTTGCCCGATATGACGTCTGATGTATGCATGAAGTTTTAACTCGATCGGTCCTGGCATGTCAAAGATGTATTTTTTTTTTAAATGACTGCCAGTCGACCACTTTAAACCCAATCTGAAAAATAAAATGGAGTACATCATGGTCCCATTATGTTCACTGTATGTAGCAAGTTTAAACGTATTCCGTCCACACATGACTGTAATTCAATTCCGGAATGGTGAAAATGCATGATTTTATGCATTTAGGCATTAAAATGGCTGCCTTTCAGCCATCTTAAATTGAATCATGAAACAAATGCAGATGTAGGATGTACGAATGAAATTTTAACTTGATCCATTCAAGCATGTATGAGATATGGCCGGATACTTATGAACGGAAACATGCATGCACACACAGATGCACTCACAGACATCACTCTGTTTCTTGATTGTCTTCGAACGGGGATTGAAATGGCAAAAAAACGCAGCACAATGCTGTTGTAATTTAGTTATAATGATCAGAGAACAATTGATTGAATTCAGTTACCTCCAACTGCATCATGGATCTTTCTACAGTTTTCCTTCTGTTGTCTTCTAAAAGACTCCTCATCATCAGTGCTACTGTCTGAATGCACCATACTCTTGGCTGTTCCAGAATCACCTGCAAATGAAATGTACAAGATATGAAATTCTGTAAAACACTTCAACTTCATGAGAGACAAATTTTTGCAAGTCAGTGAAAATCACATATTTTTGGAGCAGTGAATGAACATTTGACTTGACATGGATTCACAACAGTGAAATTCTGCAAAAAAAACAACATAAGCATAAAATCATCCACAGAACACACATAAATCATCAAAAGAACACATAAATCATTACCTGAATATAGCTTTGAAGTTCTTCCACTAGTAATTCTTGTTTGGGTTGAACTCGCTTGTGTTCAATGCTGAAGATGAAGAAAGAAAAAATTGACATTGACATTCCCAATAGTCAAACATTAAAATTGCACTGTCAGTAAAACTGAGTTAAAATCACTTAATTTTAAGTAACTTAGCCAATAAGAGTGCTTGTTCAAAGCCACCCTGAGAATACTCCCTACTGAGCCAATAGCAGTGCATGTTTCAAGCCACTCAGAATACTCACCACATAGCCAATAAGAGTGTTTGTTTCAGGCCACTCAGAATACTCACCACATAGCCAATAGCAGTGCTTGTTCCAAGCCACTCAAATTAGGTATTTTATTATGCTCTGGATCAGCATATTGCACTTTATTCAACAAGGTTTCATCATTCAAAAGAAGATCCTAAAAAAAATAACATATTGACTTAAAACAGATACTGAAAATTGCCGAAAATGAAAAAAAAATCGAAATATATTAATTAATTTAAAAAATGTATAGTTTGGATATTCCAAATTAAATTTGCTTTGAAATAGGTTTAAATGCCATAATTGTACTTGCCTTGAATTTGTCACAAAATTTCACACATTTTCATTTATTTATTCATACTGGACATTACTTACCATACCAACTCAATATTTTTTAACGGATATGAGAATTATTATGATGATTTATTTAGTGAAGGAGTAACAACATTTGACTATGGCATTATTATTACCAAGTTATCATACACTATTAACATAATCACACCTTTGGAAGCCTATCTACATCCAATTTGATTGAATCTTCTATTGGAGCTTTGCTTTCTGGTTTAATCACTTGTAAACACAGCTGAGCTATGTCATTATGCTGGAATTTAGTTCTCTTCCCTAAAGCACCTGTAAAAACAATATGATCAAATAAGAAATATTAAGGGAAATGGAAAAGGGGCGTGTCAGTTTCTCATTATACATGCCTACATGTGTTCATTGTTCATTTAGATTTAATTTGTACAGCATATTTGATGACAATGAGAATGTATGCTAAATTAAAATACTATTGTCCAATTTGCGATGCATCAATAGAACCAATTACCGTCTTGCATCTAACTCTACTTAGCAGTCAAGATTGCAGGATGAACAAAACAAAATCTTGTGTTACAGTTGTGGATGACTTCATTTTAAAAATCATTTTCATTGAAAATAACACTGTGGTGTCATGAAATATATTTGTAATGCTCATGACCATCAGTAAGTTACAATGTACAATTTCTGAGAAGTGTAAATGTATTTTTATGTGAATTCATTCATGCTGAATATGCAATTGTAATTCAAATCCTCCAACCAGAAAAAATGAAAATGAGTTCAAGTGAAAAATGTAAATTCAACATCGTAATCACACAACTCAATCCACGGGTGACCTTGGGTGACCTCAAATACATACCTGCTAGCGTCACTTCTAATTCTGCTGCTTTTGTTGCATTTGTAAGTTCTCCTTTAGCTTTCTGATATTCATAATAGTAACCATAAATGTAACATAATTCCAGATGAAACTGGATTTTGGTAAAACTTTGAACACTGCTACTGAGCAAGTCACTGGTTTGCACTGAAAAATGGTGTGAAAATACATTTAATTGACTTTTAAATTATGAAATAAGATTCAAATGAGAACAGCTACATGGCTTTAATGTGCTTGGTTACAAAACATTAGTCTAAGAGTAAATGTATGACACAGTCCTAGTAAGGATTTAATACCTTAATAATATATGATTTATTGAGATCACAAATTGTACTGTATTTCTCCAATGGATAAAATCAATTTTAAAAATAAAAAGACAATCCATGGGACAGGGAATTGTAAATAAATGAAAATAAGTGTGTCAAATTTCTTTGATATTTACTTCATGATAGAGATCTTTTATATAGTCATGCATGACTAAGACAGAATATGCCAGAAGTCAAAATTCTACACATACCTTGCTGAATTAGATGCATAATTTCATCATGACATGTGGGAGATCTTTCGTCTAAAAGCCTCTGCTTCACAAATAAGCATCTCAGTGCCCACCAGTCAACAGTCTAGAATGGAAAAACAGAATTTATTTGTGTTCATATCCAAATTCTGCTTTCAAAAAATATATAAATTAATTTACAATGGAATTGCATAAGAAATGACAATTTACCTGGCAAGATGGCAGAAGTTTTCGGCAATCAATTAATAATGTCTGAGCTATTAATAAATACAATGGCTTGCCAACCAGAGAGTAAATAGAGCCTTCATCACAACACAGACTGTTAAAAATATACTCTTGAAAATCGTTACCCTGAAAAAAAATAGTTTATATCACCAAACACCATAATCTTATGAGATTCTCATGCAATAAATATACTGTGTGTAAAATATGTAAATTTGAATCGGTTGTGATTGATAAAAGTAAAAATAAGTTTGGGAGTTTGATGCATAGAGAGATGGCAAATTTGTAAACTTACTTGTTGCTGATAGTGCAGAGGAATTTGTTGAGTAGGATCATAACTGTGAGGAGGACCCGTCCAGTTAGTCTGGATGAAGAGTTGTAAACATGCCACACCAGTACTGAGAACAGACAACTGTCTGTAAAACATAAGTGTATGACATCATAGACTATTCATTGTATATCCAAGTACAGTGAAACATGTATATGTATGGTTCTTTGCACGAGTAGCCAAGATGTTTCAGTGTAACAGTAAATACTTATGGTCAGCATCTTGTAAATAACGCTTGGCAACTGAAACACTCCGAAAATAAATGCACAGACTACATCACACCAATGATCTCATTTGCATAATCACAAATATATCACATGATGACAGATATATTCTTTAAACGCCTTCATTTGCCAAATCCAACAAAGAGTAGGGGTTATTATATTGATGACATATTTTGCACATTTTTAGGAACATTTTTTTTCCATAATTTTAATAATCATTCCCTATTGGCTACAAGTTTTGGTCAAGTTTTGAAGTAAAAATAGAAAAAAATATGTATAATATATGAAACTCACCTCAGTGCCTCTGAATCCAACTCACTGTCATTCAGAAATATTTTTACATTATGTTTTAAAAAATCCTGGAATGGTACGTCAAGTTGTTCAGTTCTCCCATAACCAAATAATTGTTTAGTATTTTCACTTTCAAGTATTTTCCCATACTCGCCATTGATAGCTTCACTTATAATGGCTGTTAGTTGCTTGGCAACACCTGCAAGAACATGTAGGTACATTTGCTATAAATATAGTATGTAATTTATGAAAATTAAAAACAAATAATTGCTATAATTATTGATACAAAAATACACAGCATACTGGTCTATGACCACTGAGTGGTAATTTGGAGCTCCCCACCCCTGATAAACCATACTTGGACTATTAATATATGAAAACCTATATCGCCAACCCCACCCCACCCCACCCCACCAGTCTCAATGTTACGAAAAATAACCACTCAACACCATCACACTCATCATCATGGAGAAGAGGTGTGTCAATTTCATAGGCAATGGTAAAAAGATTTCAGCAGGTGAAATGAAATGGTTATATGAGACATTAACACATGGGAAACAATTTTGAATATCTTCTCCACCCCCAAAAAAATACTAGTTCATTCCACATCCATACTCAACACATTTAAACATTATTTTGCCTGTACATGTATATTGAATTTGATTTGTGATGGGAGCTATGTTTTAAATGTGTGAAACAAATCTTAGCCATTATTTGCGTTTCCCGTCAAGAATATCAAACAGCATTATATAAGTTAATATTAAAACTGGGTGTCTGCTAATATGATAAAATAGTTTTTGCTATGGAGGATAATGTACAGTGTTTTTATTACAAACTAGTTTAGTCACTTCACAAACTGAAAGAAGATATTATTATTAACCAGTTTTAACCAGTTTTATAGGCAGTTTTATGAGTTAATCTTGTATTGGGAACCTTAATGTATGGAAATACATGCTTTATTTCACTAAACACACACAAACACATGCTGCATAACTGTAAATTACAAAACCCATCTGGGCGCATTGTTCATTTTTAAGGTATTTGACCCATAGTGTTTCCTCTACTCTGATCAAATGTGGCATGTATATAGTTTTTACAGAATGATGGAAGAGAAAAATAAGAAGCATTAAAATTGGAAACAGGAAAAATAAAATCTAGACACAATTAATATCAAAGTGCCTCAATAAATAATTCTGTATAAAAGTCCCTGAATGTATATGTAATGTAATGATTGAAACTATAAAAACATTTATTTTCACCCACTGTTTTGATATTTGAAGCGTATTCACTGAACTGAGTTTTAACCATGCATTTTCCAGGGCAACAATGTGTTCTGTTACATGTTTGTGTAAATTTAATTTAGCCGATTTCACTGATCACTGAACAGCAAAATATAAACCCTGTGAATAAAAAGCATTTAGCAATGCACAGTCTCTGTTGTGTACTGAATGTTTAAGTAAGACCATATAGCATATAACATTCTGTTGTTTGTTATAAAGTGAGTTATAAAAGTAGTTTTGGTGTGTGACATAATAAAAACCTGTATCTCAGAATACTGAGCCATAGTGAAAAATCAAAACAGAAAGGACAAAAGGCACTATATTCTCTCTGGCAATGTTCAGTTGGTGTTCTGTATTTAATGCCAAATTCCATCACTAGCAGTGATCCAGTAGTGTGGGTATACATTCTATTAAGGGACAACATCAAAAGTTCAAGTAGGATAAAAAGCTTTATTCCCACTGAAACTTAATTGATAAATATTGATCATGGCGCCAGACTACATTCACCATTAAATACCAATTAATAATCGGACAGTACCGGTAGTATGGCATAGCAGTTGGTTGTCGGGTGGGTGTAAAAAGACTTTACAAATAAATGCATCTCATTTGACGCACATATTTTCACTCGAACCAAACCATTTTCTCGTCTTGGATGTGTTCAAGTTTTTTTTTTTCAATTTTTGTTATTTCTGTCCATGATTGGATAGAAAAATAAAACGAACTACAAATACTCCAAGATTTTTTTGACTTTATTAAAAAATAAAATCATTTTTGTAGGATGGAAACTTTTTGAGGTCAAACCCCCCCCCCCCAAACTAAAGCAAATAAGTTATTAATCCGACATCGATCTTTTGACGTCGTCCCTAAATATTGTTGTCATACTATCAGGCATTGCTGGCATGTACTATGAAACCAAAATCCAGTATGCAGAATCCTTGCACTGAGTTTGAATGAAATCATGCAAGCCATTTCACAAAAACAGATGTTAAAATGGCATGCACTTGTAACCCAAATGGTTCTAGACATGTTTATAAACTGCGATTTCAAGCAAAATGGCCATAAATTCAACAAATGAGCATGATCAAATCACAGAACAACACAACTTACGACATTACCTAAGAGTATAGTACATTGCACTTGTATGCAAACTTTCAACTGAATCAGGCATTATATTAGTGAGGAATTGGCATGGACATAAATAAAAACAAAATGGCCACCAGTCAGCCATTTTTGTTCAAATCTCGAAAAAAATATGACATACATCTGTAACCCAATATGCATGATCATGATACATAATTTGAATAAAATTGCCCTGTTTATCTGCGTAAAACGGATCTATACATGTTTAAGTATTAGAATTTAGCAATTTTGAGGATCGAAGTGGCTGCCAGACAGCCATACATCAAATGGTAATGAAAATTGATGTGCATATGTAAGTCATCATACATGGTCTGTTTGTTAAGTATGAATGTAATCGAACGCATGAACACTTATCATTTTATACTAATAATGGTGCTATGCTGTTGAAATTTCTTTTAAATTTCTATAAAAGTGTTATCATTCATTGTCACATGCATAACACATGTATCTATTAGTGAGAAAAGTTAAAAATAATTTTAATTTTTGGTCACCAAAATTGTTTGTCTTTTCCCTTGAAGAAGATAGTATTATTGTTTAACCCAGTACAATTTTTATTGAAAACCATGATTTTGTTTTCTCAGTGTTTACAAACTGTTAGATTATAGATTAATTGATCATAATATAACCAAGTTTGGGCAAAAGAAAAATTAGTGATTACCTCATGAGTGTGAAGACTCGTGTTAGATTTGCGTTCAATTCACATACAATTGCAAGTCCACTGAAATACCTACAATTCACTCAAATGTTGATATATAGCAATTTCAGCTTATCTAACAATATTTTTGTGCGGGGAAAAATAATCAATTTAGTATTTTCAGTGGAAATCAAGGTTATAAATAATTTTATAGTGCGCATGACAGTTCCTTGACGCGTCTGCGAATGCGCGGAAGGTCAAAGGACAATAATTATAAATAAAAACATCATCAACGTTCTTATTTCAAAGATTTTATTTGTTTTTTAAATTGAGTGGTGATAATTCGAGACTATATAATTTTTTACATAAGATTCATTTTCTTTTAAACATATTTAGACATTTCTCTTCTGTTTCTAGGGCTATTTCATACTTGTTTGAGCCCACATGACTGCCGATGTGAGCGAGACTGTGGGACTATTTATAACCATGATTTTCTCCAGAAAAAATAAGTTGATCATTATTTTTCCTTTCCCTTTTCCTACACAAAATATGCTATATATAAACTTTTGTGTAAATTATAGATATTTCAATTTGTACATCAATCGAACGCGAAACGTACCTCAATCGAACGCGAATCGAGCCGAACGCTGTCTTCACAATCGTGATTACCTCAAAGACACGAGAAAATGCTAACAACAACGTCGACGACATAGTCGTCACCGACGGACAGACAGGAAAACCACAAGTGATTGGGTACACAACTACACCTTGCCTACATAATTACAGGCAAAGCAATAAAACCTATTTATTTATCTCAACCTAAGTTGAGAACATATACTCAATTCAAAACAAACTACAACTTTGAAAGTTACTTAATTATACTGAATCTAAAACATAGAATTTCTGTCTCTAGATTCCGAACAAGTAATCACAGCCTAGCAATAGAAAAGGGTAGACATACCCAACCTAAAATTTCTTTGGAAAACAGGATTTGTAAACAATGTACTTTAGCAGACATAGAAGATGAAATGCATCTCCTCATCAAATGCCCAAAATATCACACACTGCGAATGGATATATTCTCAAATATACAGTTTCCTGATGAAACAAAAACTGACCAACAGAAATTTACATACTTAATGAAAAATTCTAACACAAATGTAATCAAACTTGTTGGAGAATTTATACACAGCTCGTTCTTAATGAGAAACGAGAAAGATACTTAACAAAAACACTAAAATCTATCATTTATTATTTGCTATAGTTATTTTGTTATTTTGTTTTTTAATATCTTACTTTTGTTGCTATAAACTGATGGAAACACTGTATTTCTAAGGATGCAATAAATTATCTTTATTATTAAAATAGTAAGCGTTTTATCAACATGTCTCGATTAGTTTCAAATTTTCCTACTGAATTTAAATAACGAGAAGAACACTAGGCAATAACAAAACTAGGCTACTTAGGCAATAACAAAACTAGGCTACTACCTCCAATTCGAAGTGCAGAATCTCCCTTCTTGATATCAACAGAGACACGTGCATGTGTCAACAATGATCGCTCCAGCGATCGAGCAAATTCTGCCATGTTAAAATCCGCCTTTTTAGTTAATTTAACACTCGACCAATGTAGATAAATGACTAGAATGTAATGACACTCAGCTACAGCTATTACGAGTCGCAAGTTTGAGCGGTGCAAAATCCACTTGCTTAACACATGTGCGCAGCCATTTTGTTTTTCGTCATGTTTCCGAGACAGGAAGTGACGAACCAGGTAATATACCCGTTGCTAAGTGCGTGCAGTGTTTACATTTTATATCCATCCGCCAGCTCATATGTTATACAAAAACAATCAAAATTATCACACGGTAATCAAATCATCATTTTGTTACTAGAAAAATAATTATTTTAACCCAGATAACCATGTAGAATATACAATATTTCAAACAATCGTTAAAAACGCAAAAAACTGTGGTACTATTTAACGGAACAGTAACTAAGTGAAGGTGTACACAGTTACCCAAAGACGTTGCAAGGCTCCAGAAGTTTGTGTTTTGAAATTTGTGTGAAGATAAATTGTCCTATTTTGCCTCTTTTTCACCATGTCCGAAGAAAATCACACACCAGTCGAAGACGGCCTACTTGAGGAAACGAAAGAAGATTCGAGTGAATCGAAATCAACTGCTGACGTTGACCAAACACCGACGATTGAGGAGGAGACAGAGGCCGAACTGGAAGAATCAGAAGATGTGCAAGCCATGAGAGAGGAGCTGGACAAGATAAAAATAGAGCCCCCAAAGATAGATTTGTGAGTGTTTAAGTTAGCTGAATTAGATTCAGTGACAAATAGTACAAAATGCAACGTCGGTCAATTGTTTTCTCATGCTACGCATGGGTATGTTATGTTAATCACTGGGAGAATCACAATGTCACTATAAACTGGTTGGAATATTGTTGGAATTATTCAGAAAATATTTGCACAGATCGGGCAGCTTGCACATTATGTCTTTAATTGATATATAGAAGATAATATTTGGTAATCGTAGTCCTAAATAACTATTAAAAATAGCTAGACGTTTCGAGCAATGGCTCTTTATCGATAGCATAGAAGAAAGTGTTAATTAATGTCTTTAATTGGTTCTACATATGCTACTTTAATATATTTTTCGGTTTGTAATATATAATCTGTATTACAGTGCTTTCAGAAAATCTGTTTCCAAAGTTTATTACATTTATAAATTTTAAAACTGCTGTTGACCAGTCAGGATCAATATCACAGCGGATAAATGCATCCTTCTGAAAGGGAGATGACACGGTTGCATGTACATAGTAGGCGTATCATCTGATTGATATATAGCAGATAATATTTGGTAGTCCTAAGTAAATATTCAAAATAGCTAGACGTAAACTATTTTACTTCTATGCTATTGATAAAGAGCCATTGCTCGAAATGTCTAGGTATTTTTAATAGTTACTTAGGACAACAATTACCAAATATTATCTACTATATATCATTTTTATCAATCCAAGCAGCGTTTATTTATTAAGTATCATCTGATTGGCTTTGTGGCACAATTACTATAGCCAATACAGTTGACTCAATAGGATTTGTATGAAACTTTTGGTAAAAGGAGAAATAAAATATTTGAGCAGCTTTTCTGAAAGGGCTGTCTATGCATACTCTCGGTGCTACCAAGGCATTCCTTCATCTTTATAAATATTTATAAATTTTAAAGTTAGTTGAATCAAACCAGCCAATCGACAAGCACAGTGTGCAACATCATCATTTGAAAATGTTCCACTGTGATTCAATTGGCCAGTTTGAATTGTGAAATTTATAAACTAAGGAATGCCTTTGTTGTACCAAGAGTACTGTACCTGCTTTAATTTAGGTAGAGACAAATTTGCATGAGTCAGGGAAAATCAGGATATTTTGTAGCTGAAAAAGGTCGTCCTCACAACACATCATGTTTGATATGGTTCCATGCAACGTAAAATACAATGTTCGGTGACATGAAATTTCAATGTACACTGTGCAATGATTGCAGCCCTTTACAGCAAGTCTCAGAAGTATTGGGGCAGCCAATTTGCAAACTCGCTAGCGAATTGGCTAACTGCTTTGGTTTTGACTGAATGGTTGGCTTTCGAATCTCACTGGTGCTGTCCTGTGGTCACGCCCACTCTGGGTGAATCTATGTAACAGTAGGGACTGTCATACTATAGTTGGATGGCTATTTCGCTTTCAAATATACCAAGGAAAGTGTTCTATATTCTTTGTGTAATGAGATGTTCGTATACAAGGGATTGACCACGCAAAAACGAGGAATGAGGCGAATTTTATTAGCGGTTGGTTTAATGTTACCCCAACAAATCGTTTGGATGTTAAAATTTATTTTCTCCCTGATTCGTAGGCAACTGTTTCTCAACTTGTCTCTTTATTTAGTTTCAATCAATATTCAAGATAGCTACCATTACCTCCATATAGTAAATATTGGCAGATTAATCGCATTGATCATATTATCACTTGTACGACAGATGATTGTGGCCATTCTCAGGCTGACCAGGGAAACTACTTTCACATGTGAGTGGACGCGACCACGAGTCGGCGCCAGCGAGGTTTGAAAGCCAATTGTATAGTCAAAACCCAAGCAGTTAGCCAATTCGCTAGCCAGTTTGCAAATTGGCTGCCCCAATACTTCTGAGACTTGCTGTAAGACAGGACGTCACAGGGACTTTAAAATATGTGAACATTTTTAACATATGTGAAATTTTTTTATTCATGTAGTATACTTCATCCCTCCGGAAACATTACATCTAACATATATTTATTTTTTGTACTCAGACCCGTATTTGAAAACTTAGATGCCTATCCACTATCATATAAGGAAAATGACAACAAAGAAACATTAGTACTACAGTATGCCGAAAACTTTAGGCGACAGTTTGTTCATCTGTACAGAGATCGCAAACCGTTATTGTTGAACCCATTGAATGAGTGTGGAGTTGAGAAATTTGTCTGTACAACAATCAGACCAACATTATTGCCGTACCAGGAAATGTACGATTATGATGGAGCTGCAGAATTTGTTGCTGATTACATAACCTTTGTGCCTCTTGCTCCTCCCATTGAATTGGTAAGTCAATTTCTAAACAGTCCCACAGTATGTATTTGGTGGACGTGGGAACACCTCAAACCCACAACAAAATTTGAAAAACTATAAGCATGCCACGCACTCAGTACGGATGCCAAAGCCCCTCCTGTAATTTTTTTGGCCAATATTGGGTTAGGTCTGTTGATGCCTTGTTGACACCAGGATAGTGTATTAATAATAAATTATTGTTCTTATTCAAGTATATTTATTATTGTTAGGATATTCATATGAATTCAATATTCAATTCAACAAAAACTATATTTTGATTGAGGTCTCATCAGATTCATACATTTCTTAGCGAAATACTGACTTATCAAAACAACAATGATGAAAATAAATAAAAGCCGGTATAATGTCTGGCTACAAATATGCACAGATCTTATAAGTCAATAACGTCTATTCTCTGATTGTAATCATCAGTCAAAAATAATTACCTACATTTCTGTTACCTTGATATGCTAACTATATTTGCAAATAAAAATGTTAATTTACACTTTATTTTCAGCCCAAGACTTTGTTTTCCCCTGCCACTGTGTTAGCCAAACAAAAAGGCCACTGTTTAGAAATGAGTACTTTGCTGTGTTCGCTTTTATTGGGAGCTGGATATGATGCGTATGTAGTATCTGGATATGCCACTAAAGAAATGTGTCTTTGTGATGAAACTAGAGAAATATGCCCCCTAATGCAGAAAAAGAAAGAGGTAAATGAAAAAAAATTATTCACACATTCTTCTCATAGTTTGACAACAGACAACTTCAACTCGTCATTCCCATAATATTTTCAAGAACTTTAAAAGCTTGATGAACATAATGAAAGATGAAATGAAATTATTTTTATTAGTTCAATGAAATCAAAGGCTGACTCTTTTCATTGTTGTTTATTATTGAGCCTCGTGAACTCTCATGTCATGACATGATTTGTTACTTATGAACTGACCTCTGTGGGTGTCTGTGCATCAGTGCATCCCTCACGTGTATCCTAAACATGCCTGGACTGACATTCAAACATCACACATACGTCATGGGATACATATATTCGCTAATTCGTTTCACAATCCAATTTAAGATGGCAAAATAGTGGTCATTTTTGTGCTTAAAATTTGTTGTTTCAGAGTCTCTGACATGGTTTGACCAATCTTGTTCTAAAATTCTGTACATATATGTCATAGGTACATCATGTCACACATATTTACATTTGTGGTGGCCATTGTTTTTACAAAAAATTTCTCAAAATCAAGAATTTTTGCCATCATCTTCATCATACATGTACAGCTGTTCATTGAACATAATTTTTTTCAGATTGGATTCCAAATGACAAAAAATTTGTATTAACACATCACCTGGTGAAAGCCAAGTTGGACAGGACAGCCAATATGAATGGTACATAACAGCATCAGTAAAACTTGTTAAAGAATGCTGTTCGAAACCTTGTTTCTGGCAATCAAACATTACAACAACATTGTGCATTATGTTACACATATTAATTAATTAACATGCATTTGTTCTGATGCAAAATGACTTTCAGCTCCCTAAAGCTTCTGTGTGTCCATGCAAAAAGTGTCTGTGCGTGCAGCCGGATCTATATCTTAAACTGGACCCATTACATTCAAACTTTACACATACATTATACATAATATTATATACATATCAATTTGTTGGCGGCCATTTTGTGCTGGAAAATAATGAAAATCAAGCATTTCTGGCATTCTAGAACTGGATCTCTGCTGTTCACAGTTGGATTTTGTTCAAACTTGGTACATACATTAGACATTATAGGACCTTGACATTTTATTTTTCAGATCTGATTCAAAATGGCTGACTGGCGGTCATTTTGTTTAAATGAAGCTGGTTCTAGTGCCATATCTCTGAAATGCTGATTATGTTAAAATTTTAAATATTCATTATACATCATGTCATAGATATACTGATGTATTTGTTTGATAATCCAATTCAAACTGCCGAATGGTAGCTTTTTTTGTGCTAAAAATCATCAAAAATCAAGCATTTCTGTCTTTCTGGAACCGGATCTCGGTCGTTTATGAATGGATTACGTTCAAACTTGTATTGGTTCGACGATCCAATTCAAAATGGCTGACTGATGGCCATTTTGTTAAAATTAATGCTGTTTTAGAGCAAGATCTCTCAATATGGACAAGAAGACTAAATGTCAATCATTTTAATGTCAATAAATCATCATAATCACTGTATTAATCAGGCATCATCTTCTGGATCCATATGTCTGACATGTTTATGTTCAAACTATATTACTATAAACAAAACTATATATCTTAAATTTGACAACTAACAGGGACTATGTCATGCATCGCTTGTTATTTTTTTAATTGCTTTATATGCTCTTAGGTTAAAAAAGAAGAGGAAACAAAAGAATCCAAGAAATACACTGTGAAACCGGCCAAAGATCTAAGGAGTAAGTTTATTATGAAACAAGAACAGAGAAAAATAGAAGAGCAGGAGAAAGAAAGGGAGAAGATCCGGAAAGAGGAAGAAGAAAAACAAGCTGTGAGTTTTAAGCATGGGTTGTGAGAGATAATTAGTTACAACATGTAATAGATAATTACTTTTGAAAGTCAGACAAGTAGCATTAATTTTTTCTATTAAAATTGCTCTTCTTTTTACTTTATTACATTACTTACATTACAGAGGATACTTGCTGAATTAGAGGTCTGTAAACGCATAAATATAAGCAACTTCCGATCCCAACAGTGTTGATTTGTGTCCCCAATTACTTCCCTTACATTTAAAATTAATACTCCATCCAGCTACAGCATGGGATTGAATTGCATGGTGTTGCAATGAATCATTGTCATGAGTTATGCTCTATAGAATACAAGTGATGTATCATTATTACATCCATCTTTGCAGGAATTAGAGAAGCCTCCACCTGATGATCTGTTTGGTTTGCGTATCCACAGCTGGGTGTTGGTTCTCTCAGGAAAACGTGAAGTCCCAGAGAACTTCTTCATTGAACCATTGTCGGGCGGTTCCTTCCCAACAGATGATGATAATTTCCTTGGTATAGAATCGCTGTGGAATAACACAAACTACTGGGTGTGTATGCAGGATTGCTCTAATGGATGCAAGGTTGGTAGAAATATTTGTTATTTTTATTGACTTAGTGCTTCTCCACTCCACAACAGCAATCTCTAGAACAAAAACACAAGCAAATTAAATTTATTCAATTATCAGGGAATGAATGAAGTTGCAGCTGTAAAGCATAATTTTGTTTATGTTTCCTGGTTTATATTTGATCACTAAATAATTTTGTTTGGTCGAGGTGTGTTACAGGTGAGCACATCATATATGAATGAGTGTGAATAAATCAAAACTACACATTCAAATGTATCATTTTATGCTATTTAAAATACTGTAAAACCATTTCCCAAATGATAAGTTTTTATAAGTTAGGAAAAAACTTTTGCCTGCTTGACAGACGTGACAAGCTTATCTAATTTGTCATGAAAGTAATATGATAATAAATCAGTATCATAATAATACATGTGAAGATTCTCCATACCTCTGTGTGGTTCAATTTGTTATTTGATCTACTGTGCTAGCATTGCCTATATTCTCTGTAATTACTGAGTTAAATAGGGGTGATACAAAGTTAACTAATAAGCCAGGTAATTGATGAGTTTTGGTGGAAATTAGATTTATATGCATTTCTAGTATTAGAGAAGAAAAAAACGTGATTGTATTTTTGAGTATTATTAATCACAATGACATGAAAATAGGTCATGAGAGAGCTGACATTTTAGAGTTGTTTTATCTCGACTAATTGCATTAGTTCATCAGCGACTCTTTTTATCTCACAGGACTTGATATTTGATTTAGGAGACTGCTCGAAATGGGAGTACATGTTCCCGCACATTGAGAAGCCACAGTTACAGATACCCGAAGTGGAGGAAGATGCTCTGGATTTTGATGATGATGAGGTAGGAGTTGATGATGATATGGTGCTTTCTCTTATACATATGAGATATGTAAATAAATGCTGCATTATAATTATTCTTTAGCTTTATATCTCTTATTGTCCTTCATTAAAAATGTATGGTTGGCTGCTACATTTATTAAAGTAAAACATCAGAAATCTTATTCGATCATACTATGTTTTTTAGTAGGAAATAGCCCAGTAATATTTTATTATATTTTATTATAAGAAATTTTAAAAAAAAAATGATCACACTTTCAACATAGCAATTTTGAAACTGAATAATGCGGTAATATTTACACCTATTTTTATTGATTGATTGTACATGAAGGAAATCAATCATCACTCCTTGGTGCAAAAACTTTAAAATTTAAAAACAAATTTTAACATTAAACTTTGAAACACTTTTTTATTTTTAAATTTTTAAAAACAAATTTAATTTGAATTTTAAATTATAACATAGGAATGGATCATTTGAAATCTTGAAAGAAAAATGGCATATGAGACAAATTATATGTTTGCTGTTTCAACTGGTTATATATGTAATTCTGTCATTGTGGCTAGATTTTTTGCTCAATAATGGTTTTAGAAATATAAACCAGTGAATATTCCATATTCTAAATGGTTCACTCATACGTTATAATTGTATCACTATGTATCCATTTTGAATTCATCCTTGAATTAAAAAGACAGACTTTAAATTCTCATCACCTCCAATTTAATAGCCTGATGCAGTGAAATGGACAAATATATTATATTCGCTGTGTTCTCTATGCATAGAATATAAAAAACATTGAATATTTCATCTTATTAAATTCTATAAAATGCAATCAATGTACACACAGCAGTGTGCCTATTATTACCTCAGACGTTACATCATAATATATTCTGACAAGCCTGCCCTTATGGGTGGCCTCTAGTGTCATTTTCGAGTACCATACTTTCAATTCATGAACTCCATTTCAAAGCCAATCATCTGAATAGCTGGAGATGTGCCACAGGATAAAGAACTTTCGTTGAGACGTCTGATATAATACAATAACAATTATTTATTTTCCTAACAGGATGAAGAAAAAGAGGAAGAAAAACATTTAGATCTGCCTCCTTCATGGGTAAAAACACTCTGTTTAACCTTGAGAGAATTCCAAACACGGTGTCCATCAGGCAAAAAGACCCTGCTCTACAAAAGAGCCAAACTTGAGAAATTTGCTGAGTATCTGAATAAAAATGGGCTTGTAACAAAGCTGTCTGTCTATGAAGACAAAGAATGTGAGTCAATCCACTAGTTTGATTTGTTGGATCTTCAGTATGCATATTAATTAGATAATTTGCATTGTAATTTTTGAATATCAATTGATACGTGTAACAATTTAGAATTACAATTCATACAGGTGATTTGTATAGTTGCTTCTCATGAATAATATTTTCAGCAGGCTCAGCATGAGAATTGTGCTATAATATTACAACAGTATATTTTGTATTGCAATTTTTATTTGAATTTCTAAAATGTAACCTTGGCCTTTGAACTTGACTAAATTTCCCCATCTATCGAATGGAATGCAACTTTCTACATCTGTTTGCTGTCATACATAAAGCAACAATTTTATTTACTGTATCCTGAATATCCTAAAATATTATGTTTTTACATTGATGTTCGGAAAAACATTTTCCAACTCAATGCTGGAATAAAAAATGACGCAAAACGCAAAAATCAATTTTTTTGTTCAAATGTATTTTCTCCCCTACAGATTTAATGTGCATACTTCTAATGAGTATTAAATTTATTGTATTGGCTCAAATAAATGTTCTAATAAATTTCCTAAAATTAGTTCAGTCTTTCAGTGTATACATAAGAGTAATCTTATAGAATTCATGAATTACTAGCTTGATTTGCCTTGTTAGTATTTCCAATTGAGGTATAGTTCTCAATGTTTGCTGTTTCACATTTCAGTACAGCAGTTGGTTCGAATTAAAGAATGGTACTCCAACAGACTTGACAAATTGCAACTACGAGTTCATAACCATAGAAAGGGAATCGTAACTGAGTACTATGCAAGTGGTAGATCACGTCATCTAAAGGGTATGATAATGACTCAATTTCTAAATTACATATATGCAGTGTACATTTCTAAATTACATATATGCAGTGTAGTTTCCCATTCGATGTTATTTGAGGACAATATAGAATCTCTTAACCACGTGATAATAGTTTGTAAAATTCAGTTAAAAAAAAAAAATTTTGAATATGTATGTATTTTATGTTACAGAACATATTTATAAAGCAGTAACACCAGGACCAGAAAGTGAAAGGACCATGATATTCTATCATCATGCCCGCGTAGATGGTCTGAAGAAACGAGACGAAACTGCCACAGAAATGACAGAATATTTCGTTGATAGAGATGACTTTCTCTATTATCGCCATGTAGTGTTTGGCAAAAGACCAAGAAAACTAGAACCAGCTGGTTCAAATCCAAACTCCAACCCCAGGCCAATACTGGTAAGATAATTTATATGAAATGCATCTAATTAACATATCAGTTTTATGTAATAATTTTCCAATGTATATTTATTGATGGTATGGTCTCCCATGTATATCAGCACTGTGATTGTCTTTTTACAATAGCCAAGCAAAATGTATCCCTTATATTTCTAAGTATTGTACTAATAAAAAAAATCAATTCACCACACCAACGCTATTGGCATATAGGTATGTTGGAGATGAAAAAATAACATTACAGGTAATGAAAAAACAACACTATGGTAGATGATATGAAAAAATGAAAAAGAACTTCTTGAAGTTAATTTATTTTCTTAGAATCACACAGTTAGTGGAAGGTACAAACGTAACTTCAAATGTTATAGTTTGATTTATTCTCAAGCATATGCTATGATTGTGGTGATTCTAAAATTCATGGTTGTATGTATCTTCAATGTTTGCCTACAGAAAATAGTTGATAGGTTTCACCGCAATAAAGCAAAGCCCGCCAATGATGATGTTGCAGAACTGATTTTCATGATGTCAGAGGATCGTATTCAATTAATGTTTCACCACGAAGACACAAAAATATCGGCATCCACCAGAGAATTCTTGAAGCCGCCAAATGCTAACGATAAAGGATCTGTTTTAACGATGTCTCCCGATATGACATCAACATTCCAGGTACTGATATACGAGTCTCATTGATGTGGTTTTCTTGCTTCTATGTACGATACTTATACTGATAACATCTTAACTGAATTCTCACAGCTGCAATACTGTGGAGATTTGTTTTCATGATGTGTGTCCCTATAGTGTTGCCATGGAAATTAGATTTAGATTCTCGAGCTGACATAACAGTCATTATCGATAAATCAACTCATATGACTACAGAAGTACCATATGAACAGTTTCATATCTTGAGCTGATCGTATCATAGTTTTGTTGTTTTAAGTAAGTATCGCAGAAAAGACACTTGCATTGTAATTGTAGATTACCAATTACATAGCTCTGTGATACTGTTTGTGATAATTCCATGAGGGTTCATGAAGCATTATTAATTTGTAGCATTAAAACTACATACTGGTATATATAATATACTACTATAATAACAATAGTGCTTAATTTGTAAGTCAATGAAGCATGATCTTTTTAATAGTTTATTCAGCATTAAATGGCAATACATTCAATCAATCAAGAAAGATAAGCATGGGCATGTACTGAACCCACATGTGTATCATCAGTCTGTAATAACAGAGGTCAACTATGATTTGACTGTTATTGTATTAAATGATTTACCCATTTACATATTGCTGCAGTCCCAGTTTATCATCATCAATATTTTGTTGTAGGTTGATCCTAACAGTAAGCAACCAAAAGACTTAATCATTTATCAGATGTTGGTAAATCTCTTAGAAAGGGAAGAGGCCACAGTGAACATGGTCAGAGATTCGGAAGAAGAGGTCAGTAATCCACTATATTAGCACATTGACTCAGAAATCAATTTCCTCAAATTTTTAAATGTCTTGTTGCCAAGGTAACCAGCTAAATGGTACTTTCTTGAATTAATGGTTGTTATGGAAACTTGTCTAAAATTGCAATTCATATGGGGAATCAATAAAATTTGCCTGCATAATTCAAAAATATACTCATAGTACTTTTGTTGAACTGTTGGAGTGGAAAAAACAGATGAATTCACAGACACTGAATTTACTATTGTATTGGTCCTTTATCTGTAGCATATGGAAATGTAGTAAATAGTTATACTGATCAGTTTTCTTCCTTTGGTGTTCAATTCATATTCAACAACAGCAAAAGATTTGTTTTTTTTTGTTATATTTGATATTTCTTCATTTCTGAACAAATTAAATTTGTTGACACCACCATATTTATATACTGCAAACCATGATAATATCATGAGCTATGTATTCTCATGAGGCGGTGCAGTGAAAATTTTTAAATGTTTATGCAGTGAGAATTCACCAGACTTCCTTTAAGTAGGGAGTCAGGGAAATTGTTGCAAAATGCTCAATGAACATTACTGGCAGTGAGTATTGAGTTTTGGGAATATAATTACCCCGGTGATGTTATCAACTTCAATAAAAACAGGATTTACTATGCACTACTAAAAGTCTGATGAATTGAAACTTTAAATGTAAGCGTTAACAACCTCATAAAAAAACACAATCAATAGTAAAGATGTAAAGTTGATGAAAAAAATAAGAGGAAAACCCTGATATTACCGATAATGGTGGCTTCTCTGCTTCAATGAACAGTTGTGTGCAGTTTGCAATGAGAAATTTACTTCTTTATTTTTCATGACAAATTGACCTCAATTGGAATTGACATTTTGAGTGTTTTTGATTGAAGCAAAAAAAAAGTAGCACAAAATCGTTTGATATTATTGAATGTAAACCAGTTGTTATTCTTCTCCTGGTGTGTTTCCATATGTTTGTGCAATTACATTTCCCATGAGTGCGATTTGATATTGATTGTACCTTTTCATTTTGTGAACCTAATTTTCTTTTAAGAAGAGCAATGCTCCTTTCTTCTCCCTCTTCAATTATCTGTATCATGTTATTCTAGAAATATTTTTGATTGCATGTATTCTGTAATACAGTAATTACTCCATAGTTAATTACATGGTTTGTTGCCGTGACCTTTGCTCTTTTGAGGTTTCTAAAATTTTTTATGATTGTTATCAAATTGTCTTTCATAGGTTCGTGAAATCTTGAGCGACCGAGATCATGAAGAGAGCGTGTCCGAGCTTTCTATATCTGTGTATGACACAGAGAGAAACGAGAAAGCCAAACAGCATAGGAAGGAATTAGAGCGTTTGCAGATGGAGGAAAAGATGAGACGTGAAGAAATGGAACTTGATTACTTAGCGCCGTTCTTAGCTCAGATAGGGGACCCTGAAAAGATAGTCAAAGCACAGGCCTTCACTCTGAAAGAGGATTGCTTAGCAGACCTCAAGCATCGCTTGATTGATAAGGCCAATCTCATCCAAGCTAGATTTGAAAAGGTAATGCTGTCAATATTACTTAGTATGCAGGTAGATCTTAATCCAACAAGCTGTGATTAAAACTGTTCAGGCTTCTCAAATTTACTTAATAATGCATTATCACCTAAGGGTTTGAGTAAAGACAAATTAATCCCAACACAAACAAATTTTATAAATTATGTTCTATATTGCCATTTTTAAGGGTCATAAGTAATGTAGAATACTTTATTTTTGCTGAAGGAGTGATTCAGTTAAAATAAAATCCAGCGAATATACCTTTTTTCCTATATTTTATATTCAACTCACCAAAAATTAGTTAAAATAAATTCCATACAAAACACTCAAAAAATCTTTTCAGCAAAAATTAATTCCAGCTAAAATAAAGAATTTTACAGTAATAAGTTTTTGTTTGTTTTTCAAAAATGACATCTGCTTCAAGCATTGCATGCATGAATTAAGGATTGTTTCACGGAGTTACCGCAATTTAGTTTAAATATTTTATCTTTGGCTTTGTGTTTATGTGTCGGTGCTTCTACTTCAGTTGATTGTTATATGGAAATTCTACTCATGGAATCATTGATGCAAATATATCAGAATTTATGTTGCATTTCCCAGGAGATTTTATTTCTTTGCTAAAATTCATTAGGTTGATAACACAGAAAACAAGATTACACATAAATCTTTCGCCATGGCTCAGAATTAATTTGCCACGTTTTAATGAAAATCTTTTACATGCAATGCACATAGGAGACCACAGAATTACAGAAGAAACAACAATGGTATCAGCAGCACCAGGTTTCTATGAACAAGGAAGATGAGGAGGAATATCTTAACTACTGCAGTGAAGCCATGTTTAGAATACATATTCTGGAGCTTAGACTTAATAGGTTAGAAACTCTCTTGTTTAACCCCCCCCCCCCTCCAAATCCCCTCAAGGACACAATTTCCAAAAGCCAGCCCTCCCACTTTGTGCCCTTTCCTCCTATCATCTCAAATTGACAAAAATAACATTTCAAAAATATACACCCTCTTTATTTTATACCTTTCACCCCCATTACCCAGAATGGACGGTTCTTAACTTTTCAAAAAACCAGCAATTGCATATGCCATACTGTTTCATTTTTCATCTGCGCAACAGGAATTAAAGCAATTTGTTTTGAAACAAACCTCTCAATTACTCTTACAAAAAACAAACAAATTATGGCTACATTTCATGCTCTGCTGGCATTTGAATCAGCGGGAGTATACATCATTTCTCATTTTCCACCTACTGATATAATCAACGCAAAAGAATACATGGTTTTCTTATGCTATTTTTTTTTTATCTTCCTCTCAGGCACAAAGAAACTGCTCCGCATAAATACATGGCATTAGAACAAAAGTTGAGAACAGACTCGAGATTGGCAGAGTATTTCTGATTAAGGAAGTGATATTATTTAATGCAGTCTTTTTTTATACACAGCGTTTTAATCTATATGCAGATACCCAGACGCTTTTTTCTTTTGTGTACATTTCATTCATGTGAATAGGAAATTAGGACAGTAAGTACAATAGCAAAAATTGTTTTTGAACTCCAAGTGAACTATAAATGCATCCTTTGTATTATATTGTTATATATTTATATTGATACCAATGTCAGGTTGCTATGAATAAAATGACAAGGGACAATACTTTGTAAATGCTGTATTTATTGATCTTTAAAATCATTTCTTTGATGTTCGAATAAATGAGTGAGCAACACAGAGCTGCTTTGAATAAATAAAGTACTAGATATACGGTACTTTAATTTTGTATATATACTAATATATATTAATCTGGTTTCAGAAAAATCTTTTAAAAAAAAGGAATAAATATTGTTTAAAAAATGCAAGTTGGTTAAAAATCAGTTGGATGTGTGTGGAATGTTTTACAATAGGAAAAAATTAAAAATAATAACTGTAGCCACTGTACAGAATTGAAAGTTACATTTCAAAACCTGACCAGTGTTCAAAGTATGTCATATTAGGGATTCAGAACACAATGAATTGTTTTGTTTTTGTTTATACATGTGTTTCCATTAGGAAAAATATGGTATCTAGACTAATGTTATAAATGTTGTGGTGGGTGAGTGGGTGGGTGTAAAAGGAGAGAAAGCCCACATATATATATAAATGCCAGACACCTAAATTTTTACTAAGTGTAAATCAATCATAAGCTACAATCACCACCTGTTTTTTTTTTCAGTCCATTCATTGAAAAGTTTTCTATTAATATAAAATACACATGACTAGATACATAAATAAATCTGAAAAGCAAGCAAATCATTGTTACTACATAGCAGTTTACTACTAAATCTTGATTGAAAATATGGCCTAACAACAGAGGTAATGAAGTTAAGGTTATATGGAATAAGACAAAGTATATTCATGTTTTGCAATGCTAAGAACAGACGACTGCTAGATGATAAATAGGGTAAACAGCAGAGTCTCAGCTCGCTGGAAGGCAAACACTTTGCTGAAATGCAATAAACAAGTCGTGAAGACACACTAATTGAATTTTATGTTGTATGTCCTGATATAATTTGAAAATAAAGGTTGGATAAAAAAAAAACAAGAAAAGCTTCATTTCTATTTATGAAATGAAACCAAAAAATCCTCCTTCATAGAAAATTAAATTTTAATTTACCAAGCTTTGAAAGATGTAATAATGTATAAAATGTGTGCTCACAGGGATCAAAACATGATTATTATTATGGCCTAATTGAAAGTGAAAAATCTTAAATTTTAATTTACCAACTTTACAAATCTATAAAATACCGGTAAGATGTAATAATATTGTCTAAAATGTGTGCTCACAGACAGGGAAACATAAGAATTATTATTATGGCCAAATTGAGTATTCAGCAATTACTTGACAGTATGTACAGCTATGTACAAAATTCTCTAGCTTTTCTTACTTGAGAGTAAAAAGTAATTTTCAGTAATAGATCTTCTCAGAGGAAGAAAATACTGTTCATGATATGGTTTCAAAAAGCTGCCCTTTTTTGGTTTCATTTTGATTAAGCACAGAGGTCTGATGACCACTAAATAAACAATTTAGTAATCCACAGATCAGGCATGGAATTGTAGTGCCTTGTGTAATATTAAATCACTAATTTGTCCAAAGCTTTCGCAAATTTTAATATTGTATACAGGTCCTGAAACCCAACATCTGTTTTCAGTGACTTGTAAAAAAACTCTGGTGCTTGGTGGGATAACTTTTTCATCTGTATCAACATTTCACCATTATACACAGTAAAATGATTAGACATGTCTTCAAGATCGTTTTGGCACAACCACTCATGAACGTTGTCGGAGGACCATGATGTGACTAAAGCTTGCGGTGCGTCTTCAGGCTTGGTTGTTGAAGGATTACTTAAACTTGTAACTGTTTGAGAGGAAACATAAGAAAAATTATCGCTAATCAAAACTGATGACAGTTTGCATATTTATGCTAATTTAATTTGTTATACTCAGTAACATGAATACAAACATGCACGACTTAAAACCATTTTTTGGCTTTGCAGATTATGGATAAAGGTCAGCACAAAAGATTAACAAGATTACTAATAATATTAAGACATATAATAAAAGTCATACAACCAATTATTATTATTTTCCCTACCCAAGTTTGAATGAAATCAGCCCTGGCATGCTTAAGAAATTGTTGATGACACGTTGAAATGTTTTTTTGTGTTTTTTTAGGGCAAAAATGGCTGTAAATTTGTCAAATCCAATACATATTTTCAGTCAAACCTGTGCATAGCGACCACCCAAGGCACTTCATTAAAATGGTCTTTACAGACAGGTGGTCTTTATATGCAAGTTGAATTACTCTTTTTTTGGATCCAAGCCCCCAAAAAATAATGAGATGTTGTACATTTGAGTTTAACAAAATTGAATGAATTTGAATTAGGGAAATTTAAAAGTTTTATAAACAGAAAGTTGATTATTTTGGTCAACTGTATAACCATTATGTTTCGTCGTTGTACAAAGTCCAAGAAGTGACAATAGATAGTCACACAGACCCACCAAGCCCTAATCGTAAGTCAGCAACTAAAAACTATTCAAATATTTCAAAAAAGTGCAACAACTGTAAAATAAACATTCGTTCAAAAAACATCTGTTCCATTAAAAAATTTGTTTCAAACCCAGGAGAATTAATCATAGACTCTAAGGTCTATAATTGAATTGGCAAAAAATACATATCTTGATAAAAACATTGAAATATATTCTGTGATAAAATTAAAACAATGAAAAAGTAAACTATCCTTAATCTAAAATTCTTTTTCAGGAGATTAATTTTCAGTTTTTAAAAACTATATGTAATTGGGACGGAAGACTGACCTTGAAAACTTGAAGGCATTATAAATTGTACTTTTTCTAGAATCTTGGATATTACGACTTCCAAGTCATCTTCGGCACAGAAATTGAAATACAATGTTGTTCCAAGTAGTGCTCCCAGCCAACCATCTGGGGAGTAATTGGGTTCCACCATCAATGGAATAATCGTTTTTTGTAATTTAAAACTGTATGTGGCTTCTGGAAAATGATAGAAAAGCCGGCATTTGAGTGCAGATATAAATCAATGCATAAACTCATGGATATACTGACAATGGCATCCTTCAGTTATTGACATTTGAGAATAAGAAATTACGAAATCATACAAGTTGCCATGACAATGTACTTCTTATCATTCGTCATAAACAAATTGGTAATTCAGTGGATAGACATGATGACTAAAAACGTAATTTCTTCTAAGTTATTTACAGATACGATATAGTTGTAGTTTTAACCACACATTGCCTCCAGGGATTAGGCATCAATGAGAAAAAGTACATCAAGATAGCTGAAAGTTGTCAAAAATGAAAAACAACAATTGTTCGGCAAAGACACCTTCCCTTCAGTTCAATTCACAGATGAGATGTGATTATATTGCGCTGTTAAAGAGACAGCCCCATCCCCTTAAAAAAAACACCTACAAATACTTCTGAAAATGTCAGTTCATTCCCCACAGATGACCATCATTGAACTAGAGAGAATTATGGTTGAAATTTTCTCATAAAATAATCATGACGATATATTACCCGTAACCAATGATGACATTCAACAAAGTATCAGAATAGGATTTAGAGCATAGCGAAGGGAAACATATTAAATGACTGGGGGCTAAATTGACTAAAGATGAGAAAGCACTGAAGCATTATTTAAATATCAATATGTCTTGATATTCTCTCCATTCATCAGTATATACAGTAAGTACATGAGATCTTTTTGGCAAAAAAGAACGTGTCTGATAACATTTATTCGAAAATATTTGTACTAGGGTACTGTAAGCTATTCATCTTGTATTTTGAGTTTAAACATCGCTGCTTGCAGGGATACTGTCACATTGAACATGCATTGACGTTAGTCAACATGTAGAATAGAAACTCGGCCCGATAAAGTAGCGAGAATATACCTGCAAGGTTGCATAAAAAATTATTCGGTTTAAAATTTGTGATACTAACAAAAGATGACTTTGGTGCTGAAGTTTGAAAAACTTTCAAATTATTTGTTTTGCAATTATATAAACATTTTGATTTTGACCGGTCACTGGTAGCATAGTGGTTGTCGCACCAGACTCATGATCGGTAGACTCAAGATCAAATCCTACCTTAGGCTGAACATCAAAATGGTCGACCCCTACCCTGGGTGAGTGTGCCACAGACTCAATGGGAAGGCCAATTCCACTGGCCGAGATTCATTCACTAACGAATGCGACTTTGGGGGAACCTTGGTTAAGGTCCGCAGGTGCTTGTGTTCGACCGGGCCTGGTTGACGCCAGGATAGCGCATTACAAATTGCCATTTGACAGAGAGATGGCCACACAGCCCTGTCATGTAGTCCCAAACATGAATATGACTTCTGTGGCAAAATGCACTATGTGTCGTCGCTAGCACTTGCAATTTTCACATAAAAAAAGTCAGGAGAGACAACAGTGACACTTAATATCCGAAACTGTCACCTGGCACAAAAAAAAATTTAAAAAAAACAAAAACAAAAAAAACATTTCGATTAATCTTTTTTTATATCTAAAACTTTGTTTTGTATTACATGTATATACCTTTGACCTAATTTTTCAATCAAAATTACATAAAATGTCAGATGTCTGAAAATCTTTTTTTTCTCTTAATTTGATGAGTAACACCCACGTTTTATTCAATCTTTTATTTGCATTCAATTTAATCCTTTGAATAACTTCAGTCACTATCTATGAAATAGCTTCATTTATGTAGTCTGCTCTTAACAACATGACATGTTGACGAAAATTTTCAAATTTTTAGATAAAAAACTAGAAGCAATGTCACATTTTGTCTGTTTGGCTGAAATTTAAGACTGAATTCAGTGAAAATTACAGAAAAAGTGATTAAATTTACACTAAGCATGAACAAAATTAATCAAAGGGTTAGTGACACAAAGTTACACTCTGAGGTTATTTCTACTAATTTATTGATCTCATTCAGACTAGATTAGCCCACAGCTATTTCTGGTTTCCTTTTTACCTATGTGTAATTGATTATTTTGTTTTGAAAATAAATAGGTTATAAATAAATTTATTGAGTTGATGAGTTTGTTAGCATAAAGATGTGAAAATTGCAGTAAGTATCTTCTGATTACTGCTTGGCCACAGTAATTTTGATGTCGGTGAATTTAAAACGAGTTGGCAAATACAATTCAAGCAAAAATTCAAATTACAGCCAACATTTTGACAAACTGAAAATCACTAAAATATAAAAGTTAGTAGATATTTCTTGTAATTCGCACACATTCAACCGAAAGTGCAACCATAATTACAGTGATCAATATATACTTGCTTTACTCTCAGTTTTTAAAACTGAAAATAGTATCAGACAGTCACCAAACTGGCACAATCAAAAAACTGTGGATACACAGAAAATATTTTTGAATTTTCAACTTGTCAGAAATAATATACTTAATTTAATTATTGTAATTTTGCAAGGTTTTAGGACATAAATAAAAACATTGTCAAACGTTTGAAGAAAAACAGAGGCTTTACAGAGGCTACTCAAACCCGTTCACTGTCATCGAGTATCCTTGTATGCACGAGAGAACCTCATTTTCTGTCATCAGCGACTTAATGTTGCATAATCCTGTATACAAGCCATGCTACAATATCTCACTTACATCTCAGATGAACATTGTCTTTTAGTATTTTGAAAATATTTTGACTCTCTAACTATTCATCAAAGACACAAGACAAGTGGCATTAATGACACTTTTAACGGCTACTATTACTGCAGTGTCTAATAAATAAACAATTATCTTGGTTTCAGTAACGTACAAGGGGATACTTTAAATGGTATACAATAAAAGGAATAACACACCCGAAATACATACGCATGTTGCCATAGTGATGTATTAACAATACTTCAATGTACTGCCCATTTCACTTCTTTTTATTCATTTCCGTTTCCACGAAACGAGCGCTAATATGATGCTTAAAAATAACTTATCATCTCTCTCGGGATGTTGTAATAAATACATACTGCTATTTACAGCATTTCAATTGAGAAACTTAGTCTCTTAGATGTCTTCACTCAAAGAAAGTGTCTCTTCCTCTTTTAATAAATAAACAAATATGTCATATAAAACTGAAATCAACGTAAAATGTGCACTAGATTAAAGTAGTGAGCATGCGTGTATTTTGATCGAAACTCCTTAAAATAATTGCTGTCGTGTGCCCTGACATGAAAATTAAATTCAGATAAATGTATCTAAGTACTGATGGAAACAATATTTAATGATTATTGTTATCATTATTATTTTTACACTAATTTAAATAATGATTTTAGTTTTACACGAAAACGCAGCTGATGAATGGAATATATATTCACACTAGCACTTGGTATATTTAGTATTATTGTCATATGAATAATATTGATTATTATAGATTTTTAAAAAAATTAAAATTAGAAAATGGAATTACCTGTTCTGCACATAGAACTGTCTTTATATTTCTGAGACATGCAGACAATGACAACCGTTGCTTTCTCCACTGCATCTGCCATCGCACTAAGAATGTCACCATCTGAAGCAACAAATAGCATAACAATTATGACGAATTCTACTTTTAAAATGATAAAATCTACAATTTTCCAATTTGTTGGGGGGGGGACTCCACAAAGCCATTCATAAATACATAATATTACATACTTTTCGTATACATTTTACACTATTCATCACAATTTCCCTTTCAAACAAATTGTTAAAAAAACATGGAAGAAATTAGTTAAGTGTTAATAAGAGAAGACCCAAAAAAGGTTGAGGGATGACCCAATAGCTTTGAAGGTTTAAGGGATGACCCAACAGCTTTGAAGGTTTAAGGGGCGACCCAACAGCTTTGAAGGTTTAAGGGACGACCCAACAGCTTTGAAGGTTTAAGGGATGACTCAACAGCTTTGAAGGCTTAAGGGACGACCCAACAGCTTTGAAAGTTTAAGGGATGATCCAACAGCTTTGAAGGTTTAAGGGATGACTAAACAGCTTTGAAGGCTTAAGGGACGACCCAACAGCTTTGAAGGTTTAAGGGATGACTCAACAGCTTTGAAGGTTTAAGGGATGACCTAATAGCTTTGAAGGTTTAAGGGACGACCCAACAGCTTTCAAGGTTTAAGGGATGACTCAACAGCTTTGAAGGTTTAAGGGATGATCCAACAGCTTTGAAGGTTTAAGGGACGACCCAACAGCTTTGAAAGTTTAAGGGATGACCTAATAGCTTTGAAGGTTTAAGGGACGACCCAACAGCTTTGAAGGTTTAAGGGATGACTCAACAGCTTTGAAGGTTTAAGGGATGATCCAACAGCTTTGAAGGTTTAAGGGACGACCCAACAGCTTTGAAAGTTTAAGGGATGACCTAATAGCTATGAAGGTTTAAGGGACGACCAAACAGCTTTGAAGGTTTAAGGGATGACTCAACAGCTTTGAAGGTTTAAGGGATGATCCAACAGCTTTGAAGGTTTAAGGGATGACCCAATAGCTTTGAAGGCTTAAGGGGCGACCCAACAGCTTTGAAGGTTTAAGGGACGACCCAACAGCTTTGAAGGTTTAAGGGATGACTAAACAGCTTTGAAGGTTTAAGGGATGATCCAATAGCTTTGAAGGTTTAAGGGATGATTCAATAGCTTAGAAGGTTTAAGGGACGACCCAATAGCTTTGAAGGGTTAAGAGAAGACCCAACAGCTTTAAAGGTTTAAGGGATGACTCAACAGCTTTGAAGGTTTAAGGGATGACCCAACAGCTTTGAAGGTTTAAGGGACGACCCAACAGCTTTGAAGGTTTAAGGGATGACCCAACAGTTTTGAAGGTTTAAGGGACGACCCAACAGCTTTGAAGGTTTAAGGGATGACTCAACAGCTTTGAAGGTTTAAGGGATGACCCAACAGCTTTGAAGGTTTAAGGGATGACCCAACAGTTTTGAAGGTTTAAGGGACGACCCAATAACTTTGAAGGTTTAAGGGACTACCCAACAGCTTTGAAGGTTTAAGGGACGACCCAACAGCTTTGAAGGTTTAAGGGATGACTCAACAGCTTTGAAGGTTTAACCCTTAACCAATTGCTTAAAAGAGATAAGGGACAACCCAATAGTTTCTCCTTGGAGGGGGGGGGCAATAAATGGATAACATTCTAATATTTGATTAAGTCTTAAAAGGTTTCCCTGTGAAACACCATTTTTGATTAGATGTAGATTCAGTCAAACAAATTAGTTGCTAGGTGCACAGTGACCTCAGATTTGGACTATTCACACTCTGACTACATCATTCAATCCCCAGTTACATACAACATTATACTTTAATCTTCTTTTCTTTACATAATTCCCAAATCAATAAACCGATTAAAGGATATATGGAAATTAGATCTAACCAAAACAAAACGATTTGTAAAAGCAGCAGTTCGTTCATGATTCTAATACAGGCAGATTATTTTGTTGAGATCATAAGCTAAAGGCAACCATAGGAAACATAGAGACATGATTCAAGACCTTGCTGCCTGTAACAATCATATCAGAGAACACCCATGAAAATCAAAGCATTGATTCTGATCTTAGCACTACACTTTTTGACAAGACCTACACTATCAAAATGATTGATAAGTGATTAGTGAGAGCGTTTAATTGCGGTATCTCTTAATAAGACAGCAGTCACTCTCAGAGAGTGTTTGACAGGAATTAATTACACAGAAAGGAAAGGAAATGAGTGAATTGTAATGCAGGTTGCATTGAACTGAACATATTGCGTTTATTGAAGTATGTCGGTGCAAGACACTGTACTCGTACATAAGAGCAATAACATCTGTCTTGTATACAATAACCCCACAGTGCACCTGAGAGCGTGAAGATGACAAGCACAATTTATCCTTACTTTCTTTTATTAAAAAAAAAACGTAACTACCCGGTAGTAAATGTTTTCTTGCCTGAAGAGGAACAAAGATAGAAGACGTAATACTGTCTGTGAACACAAATTTTTTGTTGATACAATGTAGTTCTCACCGATTCTTTCAATGTCCATCCATACATTATGGCCAGCTTCTTTTAATTTGTCTTTTAGTTTTATAATTCTATCTTGTACATCCCATTGATAACTTATCATTATATGTCCATCATTTTCGTTATTTATTTCCTCCAGTCTCTTCTCTTCTTCATCCAATTTACTCACAGGTTCGTCTGACTTAAATATTACCCACAATGCACCTGAACATGCCTTCTTCACCTCGTGGTTGTCTGAATTTTTCTGCAAGTTTCTTAAAGCTTAATTAAAAAAAATTTGTGAAAATAAATACATATTACTAAATTAATTAAGCATGTTGTTAACTGTAAATTTGTGAAAATTTTATATATATAGATTACAATTCAAACTATAGAGGTTATAACTCATTCTTGAGAGCGTTTTTTTTATAAATAAATAAATAAATAAATAAATAAATAAATAAATAAATAAATAAATAAATAAACAAATAAACAAATAAATAAATAACTAAATAAATAAATAAATAAATAAATAAATAAATAAATAAATAAATAAAAATTGTAAATTTAGAACATTTCAAATTAATGGCAACTTTCAACAGTCACTGCAAAAATTGAAATCGTACGAATAGTCACTGTCATACTAAATGCTCAATAACATAATATTCCCATTATACAGAGGTAATTTACAAATTGCTTTTAGAGCTCGCAGTATAGGTCAATAAAAAGGCGGTAAGATACGTAACCTACCTTCTACTAATCCCTCTTCATTCTGAATGTGCTCACGATTTTCAGGAGCAAATGCCAAAGTCCATATTCCCTTCGCTGTCAGGGTGAGTTCTTCATCTGTGCAGTCAGGTTGCAACAACTGTGTATATAATGGCAACCCTCCACATTCCACAATCCTCACTTTATTGTTATCGTTAATAGCAATGCGATTCAACCCATTTATGACCTCCGAAGCAGAGAAACGGTAATTCTGTGATATGTGACTGGGGCTTTTCAAAGCACTTTCTAGGAGTCCGAGGATGAATTTTATGTTACCAGAACTGGAATTTAGATGTTCGTTTTCTTCTTCATCTAAAATATACGACAGACATAGAAGCGCTTTGCACTTTATTATTAGGTAGCTGGATGCCAGATATTTCTGTAACAATTCAACTGCATTTGCTTCTCGAAACAAGTTGCGGTTATCCGGACACATTCGAATACTGTTATGAAGAATTCCTAGTGTTCCTTTTATTAGATAGCGTCTCTCGTTATTTTTAAGGTGAGCCAAATCAAGATGAGGTTCAACAAAATCCCCCATCAATAAATTGAGAGCACCGCTTTCTCCCAGAGCCTTTCCCAACATTCCTGATTTGTCAGTATAGTTCCATGCAACCACTTTCAGTTTCTTCAGACACTTCATCGCATCGGAGCTTTCCTTAATAGAGAACAAATCCACCTCATGCAAGGAATTCCAAATCTTCACAAAAAGTCTATCAAATCCTAATTTTGCAAGTTCATCTCCAAGGCAATGTCTCCTCTTCTGTTCCAGAATGTCATACAAAGATGTTGATATTCTATGCAATGAAGAAACAGCATTTTCTGTGGCATAGTCATTCATTTTGTCTAAAATCTGGATTTCTTTTTGAAATTTCTCTCGAATAGCAGAAAATATTTTGATAAACTCCTCTTCTGTCATTGAAACTTTCTTTTTCACCACAGTAGTATCAGCTGTCACATTATCTTCTCGTAATTCGTCTTTTCCATTCTCCTCCCTCATCTTACTGCAGCCTTTTTTATCATCTGTCTCACCGTTCGCATATTTTTCTTGTCGTGCCATCTCTCGGCTTTTTATACTGCTACTACATCCCATTCTGGATGGATGCGATATAATCCTGATTCCTTCGTTTGAAAGCACTGTTGCCACAAGATGGAAGCAATCATAGAAACGACAAAATCTACATGAGCAACACCTGAAACAAGATTATTGCCATGGTTACACACCATAGTGACTGAAGTGGTATTGTTTCTATTTGCTGCCTACATGCTGCCTAAGGAGCTGTGTTTTAAACGACACTCTGTTCATTTGTGATATATATACTCAGATCATATAGCTACCTACGCATATTATATTTCAATACTTTAGTATCTGCACTCAGGTGTAATGAGATGTTATCAGGAGAGACAGTAGCAAACAAATTAAACAAAATCCTAAAAACATTTCCAAGAACCTAGCAATATTTTAAGTTTTAGTTTTGGAAAACAATGAAGCTGTCATCAGAATCGTTTCCATGGAAACGAATTCAAGAAATATTCCCCAAATCTAATCTAAAATGTGGGTAAAACTATCAGCTTCTAAAACAAATATAAATGTGCCCAAAAACAGAAATGATTTTAGTTTTGATAACACCCATTTTATATAGTTGAGGACCCCCCCCCCAACTAATTGTTTGATCTATTTTGTTAATGAATGTTATCAAAAGTTCACGATATGATTTTAGAAGCCCCACCCCCACCCCCACTCTAGATAAATGGATGTATAGACCAAAAGCGAT